CCGTATAAGCGGTGCCCTACTGTATTCCACCATTTACCCACTGATTCTACTGGCTTGAATCCAGTTTCACTACCTCACAAACACTGTCCACTCCGACACTCCTAACTCTTCTTATCATGTACTACACCAATTCTCACTGGATCACGATCACACCAACACAACTCTATATCACGCTACCAAAACAACACAACTATTCCTGATGATGGATTGCGAGATAACCTCCACAATATTGGAATTTTGTTTAAAATAAAATGGCTCACTGTTACCATAAATAACAAAATAAATTTTGGAACCATACATTTGATCCCAATAGAAAATATAAATATCCAGTCTAGTCTAAGATACAAGGTCTCATTTACACATTCCAAATATTTATGCCAAAATTTGCTGCTTTGTTTGAAACTGGAGTTCAAAGTGACAGATATTTGCTATGTTAAATTATATGCAAGGTCTTTTGAATGTCAGTGTGTTATAATGTAATATGCCAACTCCATGCTTCGGAGCCCCTTTCAGTAGCAGAGTTATTCAGATGATAAAAGTTTTGTAATGGAACTTTAAGATCCATTAACACAAACATCAAACATCATATTAACCCTTCAGCGTGGAGTGCGGAACATCGCTCGTCATGACGTAGTCATCCCATGGCGTGGAGTGCCGAGCACTGCTCGCATAATACGCGCTAAGACTTCTCCTTCTTCGTAACGACTGACCTTGTATTTTATGTATTCTGGATCCAGTAGCCATGTAGAGAAAAATGCTGGCTATCGATTGATATATAACATGACTCTGACAGATCGATTTTACCAGTGTTTTTCGACTTTGAAATATAGATAGATTTTTGAACTCAACTGCATTCAGCCTCTGCTTTGTGGCTCTCTCTAGGGAAGACAAATGGGGTAATAATTTTAAGGTTTTGACGGCTGTGTAGGACACATTCCAACCTTTCTAACGGTATATGATGTCAACGACCTTAGTCAATGCATTCTCTGTTCTCCCCTTGGTAAGAACAGAATTCTATAGTACATATCTGCCGTCAGTCAGCCGTGAATATGGCTTCGAGTAGCAGGCGTTTTTTGTCTCCTCAAGACATTGCTAGAAGTGTAGACGAACCTCTCACTGATTCCGAAAGTAGCGTGTTCGATTCAGATGATGAATCAAGTGTAATCGATGATTTACCTGTTCGTGAATTTCTTACATGTGACGAATCTGAAAATGAATACAATGACGGTGAACAAAGTGGGAGCAGTTTACCGAGTGTGGCACGTCCTACTGCTTTTACATGGGAGAACATGGACAACTATGTAGGGCAAAGAGAACAATTTGTCGGCAATTGTGGGCCTCAAAATGAAGTGAAAAGTGTGACTGAATCTGTGAATGTGTTCAAACTCTTTTTCACTCACGAGCTGATATCTCTAATCGTGCGTGAAACAAATCGCTATGCAGAGCAATGCATAAATTCCAGGAGCCTTCCTATACCATTTCGATCAAGGATGAGAGAATGGAAACCTCTCTCTGATGATGAAATGTACGTTGTTTTGGCACTTTTCATGTTGATAGGAATAGTCCAGAAGCCTACACTGAGGTCTTATTTTTCAAAAAATTCTCTTTTGGCAACACCTGTCTTTGGCTCTGTTATTTCTATGGACAGATTTGAATCTGTCTGCAAATTTATTCACTTTACTAACAATGACAGCAAAGACACATACCAGGGCCCTCCAAAGCTTTTCAAAATATATCCTGTTATTTCCTATCTGAACAAAAAATTTCAAAATTTGTACATACCAGGTCAGAATATTTCAATAGATGAGTCACTGACTCTATGGAAAGGAAGACTGTCATTCAAGCAGTATATTCCACTAAAATCGTCAAAATTTGGGATCAAGACGTATGAGCTTTGCGAGTCCAATTCGGGATATTTGTGGTCTTTCATCATTTACACAGGAAAGGACACAGTTTTCACGTCATCATTGATATCAGAGGACACAAACAAAGCATCAGCCATTGTGTTATCTCTAGCGGAGCCATTATTGGGTAGGGGACATACATTGTGGATGGACAACTTCTACAATGCACCTGCACTAGCTCGGATACTGAAATCATTGAAGACTGACTGTGTTGGTACTCTCCGAATAAATAGGAAAGATGTTCCTCTAGCTGTCAAAGACAAGAAACTAAAGAAGGGGGAGCTAATAGCTCAACATTCCGGCCCTGTATCTGTCCTAAAGTGGAGCGACAAGAAGAATGTTACCATGATTTCAACATACCATGGTGATGATACACAAAAAGTGAAGACCAAGGGTGGGCAGGAAAGGGAAAAGCCTGCGTCAGTCCTGGACTATAACAAAAACATGATAGGGGTTGATCTGAAAGATCAGCTCCTACAGAATTACCTTTTGGAAAGAAAGAAAATGACCAAGTGGTACATCAAAATGTTTATGAGGTTGCTAAATGCCACAATTCTAAATTCAATGATAATCTGTAGGGCAAATTCACCGGGAATAAAACTTGACCACTTGAAATACAGAGTGGATCTAGTGCAGGCTCTCATATCCCAATTATGTCTTCCATCTTCAGTTAATAAATATGTAACTTTTTAATTTATATAAAACATTAGTCCTTAACCATGAATCCTGCCAATCTACAGATGACACTGAACTTTGAGAAAATGCATTAGGATAAAAAAGCCATTCAGCTTGTAAAATAACCGTAACCTTATTGCAGCTGGCACATTTACGTAAAATGTGCATTGCAATTGTGTACTGTACGTGAAATTTATACCTGGGTGTTTTAAACTAGTTTAGCTGATATTTACACAAAATTATAGAATTTCCATTTTTACACATACAAACAACATGATGAGGCTGCCCTGAAATAAATAATATGGGGCACTGGAAGAAGACAATTGTCTGGAAAACTTACCTTCACATTTTCATAACAACATGTCACAAACACAATTTAGAACAACATATATCTAAAAATTGTTGTTCACGGACAAGTAACTGTCTGACTGCGCAAACAAGGAGTGGATCTTTCTAACAAGTGAACCACATCTACAAAAATGACTTAATAGTACTGTGCTCAACACAGAGCATGTCTTCACTTTTCCTAAAATCTGAACCATTCAGGCTTTTTTATATATAAAAAAATAACAAAACATCTCTCAGAGTTTCTTACTATAAAAAATTAACAAAACATCTCTCAGAGTTTCTTACACCAAGACATAACGGATTTCCACATCACAGAAACTGGAGATATCTGATAACATTTAAATTCAAGAAAATCCATGCATTTGGAAATTTGGAATTTGTTTAAATTTTCACCAATTTTGAATAATTAAACATTTTCAATTCTGTAGAACAGCATCCTGGTATGTACAATACACACCTTTGTGATTTTACAGTCACTTTTTCACACTGTATTATTCATTTTGTTTCACTCCTCAAACAATTTTCAAGTGTCTATTAATATGGAACCACATAATCACTTTGAAATTAGCCACCTTCAGGTTTGCTAAATTGCACCTAGGTCAATGCATTTTCAATGCAAATAATAACTATTTTAGCATAAACACTTCATTAGTTTTTAAACTGGCATTGGTAGAGAAAATAATAGAGAATGGCAAATTTTATTAGAATCAGAAGAGGACATAAAATCTGCGCAAAAGTGTATTCAGTTTCCATGAAATTATCTTACAAGAACATGAGAGGAAACTGCAAAATGCCAACAATTTGGAAGTGTCAATATTTAAATATCTGGAGGAATGACACACAATTATAATTAAGGAAAAATTAAAAGAATACTAGTATATTCAATCAGAACGACTTGCTGATCAACTGCAAACCGTAACTTTGTCCACTCTCAGGTAAATGTACCTAATATGACAAATACTCTTCTCCAGATGTCCCTTCAAGGGGAGTACACTATAATAGGTCAAACATGTAGCCAAGACCCAAAAAGGTGGAAGGGGGGAGAAACTAAGAGAAACAGATAATTTTCACGAGAAAACCTTAACAGCAGTCACATCAGAGACTGCAACAAAAACATTACAAGGGAAATTAAGTTTATATATGATTCAGGTTTTAACAGTAGGCTTGTATTAGCAGTGTTAAATCTGTAGCTAGTTTGCTTGTGTGGTAGATTTCCAGTTCTCAAGCTTACCTCCTAAATGGAGTGGTGCCGAAAGTCAGTTCTTCAAGTGATCATGGCGCGGCTGAAGAACGTCCTCCAAAGGGAAATCGACTGCTACACCTAGTTCAGCATAGTTGCAGACCTGTAAATCATTGGTGCATTGACTTAAAGACAAAGAAGTAAACTAGTTCCCATATTTCTTGAGAACGGGAAAACTGAGAACCTACGTTTTGAGGATTTCTTGACGATGTTTGTAAAATAAACACTGAAGATCATTCTACTTGTAGGCTTAAGGTGGATAAACACCACTAGGAAAAAAGTGAGGGTAAAAATCTGTATTTGGACAAAAATTTTAATGGTTGCACAGACAACTTATTTTGGCTCAACTAATAAGAATTCTGGAGTGATAACAAATTAATCTAATTTAGGATGGAAAAAAAACACACCAAGAATTACAAATATGGTGCAAACAAGAACTTTAATAATGGTTTAACAATTTCAAAATAGAATGGCAGAATGCAAAATTCTTTTAATTTTACATGTTTCATGTAATAATTGCAGGTAGTTATTACCTCCAAGCTCTGCCCTGATCATCTGCCTCCATGTACATCTTCTGCATGTGAAACCAATCAGTTAAACTGGAAAACTAATTCCCTTCACTTCATGACAGGGACTTACACATTTCAACAATGATTAGATAAAGCTTTTTGAACAAAACATCTTTATAATGTAAGACACGACTTATAACATACTTCATATGATTTTCTTATGAAGTTATGACTGTGTATTAGTGATAGAGATGGATAGTAACAATGCAAAACAGTGCCAACAAAACTCTAGCAGCACATTCCTATATTTTGGCTTATCAAACAACAGAAATAGAAATAAAAAAGGGGGTTCACATTGCTGAAATGTAACCAGAACCCATTTCTCTTAAATTTCTTGGTGTTATTGCTAAAAATTACTGATGTTTGGAAAGTTCAAACATTAAGAATGAAGTCTCCTAAATGAGCCCAATCCTGCACGTTGTTTTATATCTTCAACTTGGCACTTAACAAATATTTACATATCAAAGAAACAACTCAAAAAGTACACAATCAATATAATTCAACGCAAGGCTCCACCTTCTACTACTTTACCAAAACAGAATTTTAGAATCTATTTATCATGTACAGATTCTGGCTAGGCTAGAAATCGGCCACAAAGTTCTAATTACATGGACTAAGCACAAATTCTTATACAGTCAAGCTGGTTTCTGTAAGGAAAAACAGCCTTCCAGGCCAATACTTGCTGTCTGCCCAAGTGTCCCATAACTCGTCAGGAACATCATAACAGGAATCAACTTGCAGCAACCTTTTATTTCTCTGTCTTCAACAGCTGAATTACCATCAACCACAAGCAACTGAGGAAATGTCTATGTTTCTCCAATGAAGCACACACATTTTATAAATGCATTAACATTATACATACCTCAGAGGTCTATACCACATACTGCAGACAAATTCACTGTTACAAAGCAAAGTGCAATGAACGTAAAATTCGCCAGAAACACTTCCTTGCATTCTGTTACTCACGACACTAGAAACATCTTTCATAAAGATTGTAGTTCTTATTAATTTCTGAATGTTATATCATGCCCCAGTCCTGCGCCGTAGTCGCGTGGTCTGAGGCATCATTATTTGAGCTGGCGATACGGATCGCACGCTGGTTCGAGTCTCGGGAATAAACGCCTTGGTATTGTTACAAATTTAAAATTCCACTTATCTCTGAAATCGACATAAGTTTACAAATAAATTTTTTTGTCATAATGCACACTCAACACAGTATACAATTACATTTTTGTATCTACCACCATTTTCTCTTCAAATGCCTTTTCAGGTTCAGATTGTTATATATTCACCCACAATGTCACATTCAATGCAAAAATGGAAACATGTTATATATCCAGGTTTAAAAAAGTAAAGAAGTATAATAAAAATAACCTAATCAACATTAAAGGAACTTCATGGTATATCAGAAAATAACACGTAAAATCTGTAGTTCTGGTATACCCTTGTATGGAACTCTTCTATTAACAGTATTTGCCATGGATGTTTTCTTCGCTTCTCTCTTGTACTGTCAAGATCTTCCCGTTGCATGCAATAACACAAATCTACCCTTACCCTGTACATCTTGTTTCCACCAGCATGGCATGTTTCTATAAAACTAAACACATTTTTAAAAACAACATGGACTTGGAAGCCTCTAACTACAAACTTTTGGTTATATCTCTGTAAAGTATTGAAAATGGTTTCATTACTTTTCTGATAAAGGTGAAGTGCTGTTAGTAGCAATCACATAATACACCCACATAAAGCAGGAAGTTGTGCAGACTGCTGGGATTTCAGTTCCTCATGGAACTTACTATTTCTGTATACACCATCATCTCATAGTCTCCCTTCACAACCAACATGTACATATGCACATAGTGAAAGGAATGTGTAGCATCCACCAATACAAATACAATGCAAAACTGAATCTTATAATTATAAAATAAGCTTTGTTCACTTTGTACTGGGACTTGTACTGCACCCAATACACTGATGCAGTGAGGAATATTCGTCATTAAACTCACCAGGCACTCATTTCCATTCACTGTAGCTTGAAGGCAACTGCATGATACCATTAGAGATACTCTTAAATAAAGACCTTATCATATCAAAAAGACAGAACTTCATGATTTCAATGTCACAATCTGCCCTATCTAATACACGCGATGTAGCAGAATGTCTTTAAATGCAACGGATCAGACTACTACTATTACTTCCCTTATAGCTAACAGTCATATGAGCATTGCTATACCCTCTATTACTAAATGTTTGATCTTATATATTCATGGCTTTCTTAACGACACTGTCGAAACATAATATTACGAAAGTAATTAATGAATTGGAAAGGATATGGAAGGAATCAGTCGGGGCTCAATTTTGGGTACTACCTGGTATTTGCTGGCGAAACTGTCACAACCAGCAGGTCCTAGAGCTTGAGAACTGGTGCCCTGATGCTATTTAAACTACTGTGTTCGTCGTAAATAATTAATTTGTCTTATGCTGTTTAAATTTGTTATTGAAAATGGTTGTTGATTAACTTCAAACAACTTGTGGTTCAACAGATGTTGACTGATACAAAATTACTCATTAACAAATCACACAGCAACATGGCCATACTGCATAAATGTAAAAAAATTGTAATGTCAAAAGTGACAATGGACATCAAACTTTACGAATACTACAACTATAAATTGTATATTTACCGATTGAGAAGCACCAAGAGAAAATGAATAGCGTCACATTTGCATGTATTCTATAAGACCATCCTCAACCAAAATCCGTAATGGCAGCAGTACAATAACGTACCTCAAGAGCTTATACAACATAGATAAACCACCCACCTGGCCGATCGTTCTTGGTTTCTCTGTGATCTGTGCCCTCTGCCGCTTTTAATTTCATGGACAGCTCTGACTAAACATTGACGCTATTCAAAGAGGCACCGCGCGTAGTAATCAAGGAAGGAACTAATGTGGCGGTTCTGCGAAAGACGAATGAACGCGGACAAGAAATAAAACAAAAGGGGAAAAAAAAGCCGAAATTAACCACTCTGCACCCACATAATATAACAGATTCCCAATACATCCAAATAAAATTTCAGACAGGAATGAGTTTTAATCTTTATTATGTTCAAGTTAATGCACACAAAATTGTATTACAGAAACAAATACCGACCTCCAAATAACAAGTGTACATAGCATGATCTGAAGCATTCAAGGCGACAAAAATTAATAAAATTTCAGGCCCACAGCCATGAAAGTTGATCATCAGTCGGTTGACATTGCTATCATGATGATGGGGATGTGAAGCGAACAGCAATCAGGAAGTGAAACAGAGGAATGAAAATAGTTCTGAAGAAGCAGGTACAGGCATAAAAATTAAGGGCAATCACATGATGAAGTGGTAGAAGGGAAGATTTCAGGATGAAGGTGGCTGTCTTCTATGATGTTGCCTCATGTAGTCTGTAGTCTTTCACAGTAGTGGAAGAAATATTGTTTTGTGTATAACACCTGATGGAAAGTTTGTTCTTCATTTTTGCATTGTCCTACTGTTTATTTTTATCAACGTACAAAAAGAATTAAAACTGTCACATACTGGCAATTTACTATGTGCTGCTGTCTGGTTCTGGCTAGCTATTTATAAATCATATTGAGACATTGATGACTGAAAGTAGAACTTTTGTTTCTAAAACTATCACATAAACGACATGCTCTATTTACATTCCAGAAGTCTGAAAACAAGAAGAATTTCTTGGGAAGAAACTGAGCTTGTGGAAGCTGGAGATGGATGGACAGAGTTGGTTGTCAAATGACCACTTTAAGTGAAAACATATTAGGGAGAAGAAAAAAACTTTAAACAAAAATGCTGACTAGCTGCATATAATGCAACCAGCTATATCAATTCTTATACAATACATCACATTATCGATTATGAAAAAGTAAACTAATATGTCAATTTTATTGTAATTATGTCATTTTTATAATAACCAAACAATTCATTGACCAGATGTTCACAACCAGTCAGCTTGCCTCCATGCTCACAGTTGATACTTACAGAATGAGTTAAAAGTCAGAACTTATTTTAAAAACTTTCAAAGGAAAAAAAATTGCCTTCAACTTTATTAATATATTTATAAAAATGATTATAAACTATCAAACTTATAAAATGAAATATAGGTTTTTTATAACATAAGTAAGGCATATATGCACCAAGACCTTATTTTTCTATAACAGTTCACCGGGGATCATAAGCCATTTCTTAAAGTTCAAGCTGAATGGAAATAAACATTTTACTCCATGGGATAGAATCCTAGAGAACAGTACTTTCAAGAGTTTCATTGTAGAAACTTCATTCTCACCTGTGTACAATTTTTATTTCTCTTCTCAAATGTTGCAGTTAATTTATAAGGATTTGTTATATGTAAAAATAACTGTATACCTATTTCTGTGTAGTAAATGACAACTGCAAATCTGAAAGTAAATCTTCATTATGTGAAGTTCCTGACACCACAATGAAAAATGGTTTGAAGTCCACCAGTCCCTGGAACCACTTGCATTTCATTTACTTCATGGGATAGTGGCATGTTAATCCTTCTTCTCCTAAAGCTAGTTTTTTGTTTTCCAATAATTAGGAAATATTAAATTTCTGGAAACAAAGATAAAAATAAGGATATAATAAGGTGATTTATATTATGCATGTTCACAATTGGATTGCCCTCAATACATTAACACGTGTGAAGGGACACATCAGTCAGTGAAGGAACTGTAAGTCAACTGCCTTGGCAAGCAGGGTTCACTTGTCAAATAGGAGTATACCTTCTCTCTTTCTTATTTATATTTGGTTTTAATTCCTCGATATGTTAACAGTTTAAAATTGCTATGTAACTGAAACAGCCTTACTTAAATCAGTTTTATGAATGAGTCCAGTACAGTCAAATGTTGGATAATATAGTTCTGGAAAAGTAATGCTCACCACAAGGTCCCATTTGGCACTTCTTCCTCCGAACCAAGCGTTTAGGGCATGGTCGACCTCCATTTTCAGCTTTTACCTGCAAGATGAAATACTGATCTATCAGGAAGGATGATGGGAATTTTATGTTTGTTGTCTTTATTCCTCAGTGTGACTTATCAGAGGTGACAGTGAATGTATTAAGCAGTGATTCACTTCATAACAACATATTAAGTTATTTGGCTGAATGAGTAATTAATAAGAATGCAGCCAGTAATAAATTAAAAAGCTTATGCTGTTATTATTATTATTTAGTGTTCTGTCTGACGACAGGTAACTGGTTCTTTATGGTTCTCATAAGATTTTTCATCTCTGAGCTAGAAGTGATGTGACTGTGCTTATGGACTAAAATATAGACTTTTTACAAAATGTGTTCTGAACAAACTTGTAAATGCTCAAGAGTTATTTGTAATGCCCATGCATATGAATTTAAAAATTATGTAGTTTCATTACTACTATCATAACAACATATAATACAAATCAAGACTTGCTGAGGTCTTCTGATATTCTGTACACAATGCATCAATTTATTCTGAATTCTAATCCAGTAAAATTTGACTTTCTTTTGATTTTGATTTTCCATGTGTCATGGCTTATGCACAGTTTAGGTGGCCATGCATCACACTAACATGCAACTGAAGTGTTAATGCAGAAGTTAAAGTCTGGCTGGCAGCCCTATATTACAGGGTAACATTCCATATTCTCACATGATGAAAATTAATTTCATTATGAATGATTTTTGATCAGATTTCCCTAACGAAACATATTCATGCATTGTAGGAACAGCAGAAGCACTTTACTATCAATCTGGGTACAATACAAATATCAGTGACATTAAGACCACATATAATAACACCCAGTCTCACCTTGATCATGCGGAACCGCTCCCTGATGCCAGTGCCACAAGTGACACTGCAATCTGTCCACACACTCCAGTCACTCACCATGCAGTCGACAGGAGGAGGAGCTGCTGTTACCACTACATTAGAACTCAGCCCTTGCACCTGAGGAGCCCCTTGTTGCAAAAGCTGATCTACAATATAAAGTAGTCACACTTACTACAAGACTACATAACTTAGTAACATAAAAGTATTGGAACCGAAAGACATACAATAACATGAATGACGAGTTTTATTTATAGTTTTTGCACTCATTTCATTTAAATTTAAATTACCATAACTTCTGGCCTAACTATTATACTTGAAATCAATTATTGGCCTTTCCTGTGTTTCTAGAGAACATTATAAATGAAGCAGTTTCAAAGATGGTGATGGGGTTTGTTATTAAGAAACTGCTGATTATCTATAAGTTCTGTATTTATACTACATAACAGTTTTTATCTTACATATTTTCATGTTTCAACCATATCTAAGAGTAAGTCATTCCAATTCATACTGGTTTTAATAAAATAAATCTTTGTAACTGTTAACTCAAGATGTTACTGCTTACCCCTAACAACAGCACAGGCATCATTGCACTCCTTAGCTGTGAGAAAGTTATTACGATTTCCTCGACAACCACCATAACCAAATGGCACGCACATTCCTTTCCTGGGTTCAAAATACCAGCGCTCAAAATAACCTTGACAAGGACCAACTTCCTGCTCCATCATGCATACCTCTGCAATGAACAAACATCACCTTACATCTAATTGTACCAAGTTTCGGATTATCTGCTAAATTAGTAATAATGATCACTTTACATTGGGATGTGTGTTTCTAGTCTCTCCTACTATATACTGCCTTCTATGGGCTGAATAAATCTTAATAATATGAGCATTGCATCTACATATGAAGTGATCTTACTAGAATAAAAGAGACAGGAGGAAATAGAAAGTGGGGCTGAGATAGAAAAAAGTGAATGAGAAAGGCAGGGATGGTTTATTGCTTGTAATTAATTACCAAAGTGTAAATCCTTTATCAAATTTAATTATAGTAATATTATACTATGTAAAAATTATTAAAATAATTATAAACACATGATCATGAAAAATTATAATACTTTATCTAGTATCTTTCATCAAATCCAATAGTATCATTTATTTGTGGTTCATTTAAGAACACAGTCAGTAGCTCAGACAGCACAGCATTGAATGATGGTATGATTAATGATCATAAACTGGAAAGGATATGGGTGGAGGTGCTCATAATGTAATTTAAATTAGTATCTTGGTATTTGCCTGAGGAACTATGAAAAACCTTAGTAAGGATAGCCAGTCCCTTAGCAGAGATCTGAACCCAGGACCTTCCAAATATGAAGCAGAACTGCTAACTGCTCAATTGTTACATTCAGTCCCCAGTGAGATCAATAAAAATATTGTCAAAACTCAATCTATTCATATTTTGCAATAACATTCTTTGAGAGAGGAGAAGAAAACAAAGAAGTAGAAGGAAAATAATAAAGATAAGTAAAATAAGAAAGGACGAAGTGGAAAGAGGTCAAAAGCATAGAAAAAGTTTGAGAGGTAGACAAGAGGCAGAAGAAGCAGAAGAATTAGAAGAATTTACTCCAAACGAAATTGCTGTTTCTGATAAACAGATAAGGAATTATTTCTGCTTAAGCAGAACTCAGCATTCAAAGTAAAAGTTAAAGTGACACGCACGTTTAGCAATGACCATGTCAAAAGTGCAGTCCTCCTGCACAATACAGTGTCTCTGTTGCACCAGCTCCACGCGTGCACTGCACTTCTCCTGCAGTTCTGGTGCAACCAACAGCAGACGAGTGCGCAGTTTCACACCCTTCCCACAGGATGCACTGCATGGACTCCAGTCACTCCACTCTGTCACAGGGCACATGGGATCTGCCTAGGAATACAATATAACACATTCATTTCTAGTGTTACACATCTCTCCTTCCACCTCATTTCACCCACAATGACTACTAAGTAACACTAATGGGTTTCCAGTGCATAAGTGATCTTTACCTATTGTTGGTTTCATTGCTTGGCTAGCATTTAATGCATGCAGCTATCAATATCAAGCATCACAGTGGTAAATAATGAATTATTATATTTATATTAAACAACCAGGCAATTGTTACACAACACAGAGCCATAGGCTATAAGGAAAAGGTATAACACAACTCATGCAGACTGTAACCCTTCATTTTACAATTATTTCAACATAATATGGAACACTTACTTTACATATTATATCATCTATTGAAGTATAAAGAATTTAGTTAACTTTTTTCATACAGGAATAGTGACTTAGAATCCCTGTACTATGGGGTGGTGGACATCTAACTCTGCAGTTCAATATTTAGCTGTCAACTGGAACATGCACAAGTATAATGCACAGTCAATAAAGGTTAATTCTCATAAATGCCAGTAGGATAAAGGATGAGAACATGGATGTCTTCAAGAGCTATAGCTGGAAACAGAAATTTACATAGAACAGTTCCTGGGTGTTTACAATAGGAGAGAATTAAGGGAAGCATTGCTGGGTCAACTTTAAACTCATTAATTAGTCCATGGATTTATCAGTTGAAGATCCAAACAGCAGCACTCACCACTTCATGATTTGCATCCTCTCCTCTGCATGGCGGCTGCATGCACTTCTCCCGCTCAATGATGGACACGTGAGGACACTTCTTACGACCAAGTCGCTCAACAAATTTCCTGGTGCGAGTAGAAGTGCCTATTCCACAAGTGACAGAGCACTCTGACCATGGACCCCAAGAAGTAGTGGTACAAATCCCCTCATTGTCCTCCAGCGGCTGCTGATCATTATCAGCTACAGGACCTCCACTGTGCAAGATTACAACAGTTTTTTTTTTTGCTATTTCTTCAGTATAATGTTAGCAGTTTAACAGCAAATATGTGGCAGATTACTTTCAGCCACTTGAGCACTAACTTGTTAAACTGAGTATAATTTTTTTCACTTTAGAGCACTGAGAAAAGTACATTAACATTCTAAATTCCATTATAACATAAATTACTAAATTAAGATTAACCTACAAATATAGTATACAAATGTTAATAGTTTGAAGAGTCACAATTATTTAGTAGTAACATACAGACCTGCATTAAGGAAGCACTCCATTTAAATATCAGTCAGGCTACGTTCTATCCTGAATAAGACATCATAATTTTCCTCAGTCTCTCCAGATTATTGCTAATAAGAAGCTTTTAAGAAGAATTACCATTTATAAATGGACAGACACACAAACAAGTGAGCTGGTTAACCTCCCTTCCACCACAAAAATAAAGTAAGTTTGAAACATTGTTTAACAGACAATGTGATAAATCATACTTACGCACACTCTGGTATGTCAGCAACACACATCTCCTTTGACACAAGCTGTCGATCACAGCCCATCATACCTGCTTTTGCTTGATTCAGGTAGTTACGCTGTCGCATCCTCAGTCCCTTTCCACATGTTACTGAGCATGCACTCCACTCAGAATATTCCGTCACGCCACACTCCGCTACAAGCACACAATTGTTTCAACGGTGATTGATCCTTGAATTATTTAAGTATGCTCTTTCAAATGAACAGGTAATCTGCATTGGATTATAGTGAGTGATGAATTGGAAAGGATGTGGAAGGAAGGGACCATTTCATATTTTATGGTCCACATTTCAAATCTGAGTTTGCAGAACAATCTATTCTGACTGAGGTTTCTTGTGATCTGCCTTAGTACCTACAAGAAAATTCTGGAATAGTATTTTAAAATAGACCATGACAATGTCTTTCTACACCCTTTACAATTCTACACTGTGTAACGCACCAACTAATGCCACTGTGTGGGGTTTTCCTTAAAAATTTGATTTTAATTTGGCTGGTCAAGAAATTCCCTGCCCACCTGAAGGTACAACACTGCTTTCACAAAAGTCCATTACTGAACCCTGCCCTGAACCAGTCAAATCCAATCCACTATTTCACCCAGCAGTTATCTAAAATCCATCCTAATATAGTACTCACATTTACACTAACATTTGAAAATAATTCTGACCAGCATTTTGTATGCATACTAAATGTCTTATTAGTTATCATGACTCACGCCTAGATGTATCCTCTGTATTCTCAGCAACTTCAACAGCTTCCTCCAGAATCCTGTCCAGACTCTGCTCATCGCAGCCTTTGGGAATAACAGAGTCTCTTCTCAGGAACAGGCGAGCTAAGGGCAACATGGGTTTGCCCGATGGATCATAGAAGGGAGCTCTGGGATCCTCTGGATATAGTGTAGTGATGCGATGGATCTTCTCCTGTGGGACAGTTGGACTATTTGGAGACTGGAACAGAAACATATCATTATGACAAGACAGGCTAAATTAGGTTCAACTTGAGTTCACAGGAATTAACGTTTAAACACTGCATCACATGACTGGTGATAGGATAGCAACCAGGAAATAAATAAGGAAGACTGTTGAAGTAAAGGAGTTCAGCTTAATTTAGACAAACAGGCTGGATTTAAATCAGTAATAATTTAATTATACTACAAATTTCTATCAGCAGTGCAGTAAATAAACACAAAACTAGTAAAACGTGTGGATCTGAAATGAATGCATTTGCAAAATATGTGTATTCATATTTGGATTCAGGTTCTATTTGACACAAAATTTGTAACTGGACTATCTCAGCTTCATTCAGTACAGACAAAGAACTCAAAATGAGCCCTTTCTTATTTCTTTATTTAATCTTAGGATGGAGATTCTTAACACTGAAATTATAATTAAAGTGTAGGAAGAAATGAAAAGACCAAGACACTAACAAACACTTACTTTCGTTCAGTTTTTAGCTCTGTACCAACATACTTATTAACTTATAACATACTCTCTATGCTTTTGTTAATGGTATTTATGTTCTCAGTAAATAAATTTCCATTATCAGCATAGATCATGAGTTCCATTTACTTTCAGTTACTCCAGTCTCAAGCTACTTGAGTAAAGAAAGATTCAGTGTAAATAATTACCATATAACTTATTCCACTGTCAGTGCCAGCATCCCATGGGTACAAGTCAACAATTTTCTGTTCTATCCATGTACAGTCCTTGTTGCACAGGTTCAGCCCCGGTACTCCAACTATCCAGTCCGGAGTTGGCCCTGTCATTATGAATCAGTTTGTATGTGACAGTTTAAGTGATCTCTTCATATTGCATTCTGATCTCAGTAAGCTCCACATCACAAATTTCTTTAGTTGCCACATGTATATATTCCACCGCAATGCAACAAAGGAGCAGCGAGAAATGCAGAAAAACAATAACAAAATATATTAAATTAAAGAAATAGTATTCAGGAAGCATGTTTTAAAGCATTCAGTCTGAGTTTCGAATAATTTGAGTGTTTAGCTGATTCTGTCAGAACTGTAAATGTTTTGTCACTGATATACCCAGAAACCAAGTATCTCACCTAACATAGAAACAACTGACACTAATGGATGGCGCTGATCTACTCTGAAGGTGGATGTACTGTTGGTGTTTACTCGTGGGTACCACAATCCAGCTGCTTTGATGAGGGTGCGGAGATGCTTGCTCTAAAAGAATATGAACATTTTTCCACCAAGTATAATTTTACTTTTTCACAGTGGTGAATACAAAGATGGCCATCTTCTGGATTTAGCACCATGTAGTTTGGTAGATGTTTACCAGACTTCTATTAGACTACATGGTACTACAACCCAGAAGACAGCAGTCATTGTTCCACTACATAACCGTACAAAAATAACATTTATATTGTTGACTGTAGTTTTCTAGGTTATGATGCTATGTAGTCTTTTGGGAAGCAGTTTGTGTATCTGAAATGCTTGCAACAGGAAATAAGACACAACCCAGAAGATCACAATCAATTTCTTAACTGCTATGAGAACTTCAAATCTCTAAAGAGTTTAATTTTCATAACTGTGTTTTACAGCAGAGTGAGCACTTCTTTTTGTCATCATTTCTGACACATGTAAATTCTTCATTCTTTTTAACCACAATTTCTATTCTATCAGTCAGTTTGTAATAATGCATAACAAACAGTTCCCTAATTGTGTGTAATTATAAAACTTTAAGTGTAGTACAGTCATGCAAAGAACAGCATAAATATTTAAACCTAAGTTCTCACAAAATGGAAAATGGATTTTATGTTTACATCTTGTATAAATTTAAGTTCGCTTCTTCTTAAATTTGTCTCTTTGTAAGTGTTTATTGTATCATGACATGTTCCAGGTTTTATTGTGACAGTCATTCATTATGTGCATATAATTTATCTAAAATGTAATATAATAAATTTGTTCACATTCCACTTCATTAACAGGTACTTGTTTCAGAAATTTCATTATCACTGAGTTTGGACAAATGCTACCTTTGCTCTCAGTTCAGCTTCCATTCCTCGCACCGATCCCCACTCTGCAACTTGGCGGAGACCATCAGAAGCTAGCTGGCCCTCACCCCAAAAGGAATAGTTGCGCTCATGTGAAGCTCCAATCACATCACTAAAGTGAGTCAGCCACAGCGAGAATGGAAAGTCTTTTGGGTGTGTATGGTTTGACCACAAGCCTTCAAATATCAGCTGCAAAACACATGAGGCATATAATCTGGTGTGCTATAAATACAACAAACGGTTCATGGATCCAAAGCAGAAGTAAACAAGATATTATCCATGTGCTAGATGTAGCCCTTGAGAGCATTCAAAATATTCGTAATTTCCATGTTTTAAAGCATTCAGTCTGAGTTTCGAATAATTTGAGTGTTTAGCTGATTCTGTCAGAACTGTAAATGTTTTGTCACTGATATACCCAGAAACCAAGTATCTCACCTAACATAGAAACAACTGACACTAATGGATGGCGCTGATCTACTCTGAAGGTGGATGTACTGTTGGTGTTTACTCGTGGGTACCACAATCCAGCTGCTTTGATGAGGGTGCGGAGATGCTTGCTCTAAAAGAATATGAACATTTTTCCACCAAGTATAATTTTACTTTTTCACAGTGGTGAATACAAAGATGGCCATCTTCTGGATTTAGCACCATGTAGTTTGGTAGATGTTTACCAGACTTCTATTAGACTACATGGTACTACAACCCAGAAGACAGCAGTCATTGTTCCACTACATAACCGTACAAAAATAACATTTATATTGTTGACTGTAGTTTTCTAGGTTATGATGCTATGTAGTCTTTTGGGAAGCAGTTTGTGTATCTGAAATGCTTGCAACAGGAAATAAGACACAACCCAGAAGATCACAATCAATTTCTTAACTGCTATGAGAACTTCAAATCTCTAAAGAGTTTAATTTTCATAACTGTGTTTTACAGCAGAGTGAGCACTTCTTTTTGTCATCATTTCTGACACATGTAAATTCTTCATTCTTTTTAACCACAATTTCTATTCTATCAGTCAGTTTGTAATAATGCATAACAAACAGTTCCCTAATTGTGTGTAATTATAAAACTTTAAGTGTAGTACAGTCATGCAAAGAACAGCATAAATATTTAAACCTAAGTTCTCACAAAATGGAAAATGGATTTTATGTTTACATCTTGTATAAATTTAAGTTCGCTTCTTCTTAAATTTGTCTCTTTGTAAGTGTTTATTGTATCATGACATGTTCCAGGTTTTATTGTGACAGTCATTCATTATGTGCATATAATTTATCTAAAATGTAATATAATAAATTTGTTCACATTCCACTTCATTAACAGGTACTTGTTTCAGAAATTTCATTATCACTGAGTTTGGACAAATGCTACCTTTGCTCTCAGTTCAGCTTCCATTCCTCGCACCGATCCCCACTCTGCAACTTGGCGGAGACCATCAGAAGCTAGCTGGCCCTCACCCCAAAAGGAATAGTTGCGCTCATGTGAAGCTCCAATCACATCACTAAAGTGAGTCAGCCACAGCGAGAATGGAAAGTCTTTTGGGTGTGTATGGTTTGACCACAAGCCTTCAAATATCAGCTGCAAAACACATGAGGCATATAATCTGGTGTGCTATAAATACAACAAACGGTTCATGGATCCAAAGCAGAAGTAAACAAGATATTATCCATGTGCTAGATGTAGCCCTTGAGAGCATTCGAAATATTCGTAATTTCTAATAATTATCTTACTTTTAAAATAATGTTAATCAGATGGTCAGATCAGTTCACTTATAGCTGTTTTCACAAGTTCTCTCGAAGAAAAAGACATGAAAATGTTATCTTCATCTTTTGTTACAAAAGCGCTGATGCCTTTCTTATCAGAGAACACATTTCAAAAGTAAGATTAATTAGCATCAGCCTTTATCAACCCAATATGGAAAATATACTGTATCCATTAAGGGCTATTTTTGCCATGTGGCAGCACACTAAATTGTGCTTATATTAATTAAATGTCATAATTTAATTAGGCTGTGAGCATCTACAGAGGAGATTAAAATGTGGTAGCAACATAAGTCAGCAAAGATAATTTTACAAGAATGACACACTCATGACAAGAGTTGTACAAAGTCACACACCTCGTACTTTGCCTCATCACATGCACAGCACTCTTCTTCATCTTCACTCTTCCTCCCCTTATCTGACTCAACGAGTTCGCAAAGTTTCCGACTGAGTGCCCCATCATCTGCATACCAGTTGTCTGCGTCTTCCAGTACCATGGCTCTGGCAACGAAAAGATAATTATCGGCCATAACCGACACTCGTTTCTTGTCACATCAAAACACCTTCTCACTTGAATCTGGTACTGAACGAGAATGCACTTGTCTGTCCGCAGTGGAAATTGTGTTGTAATGATTATTTCTGCCACAGATGCACTAACTAACAGAGAAGGAAGCAAACAAATGCTTACACAATCTTTGAATTCGTATTACCACATACGTCAGGAAATAAAACCTGGAATCATCTGGCTTCGGACAGGAACCAGAGCTGGGCTCTTGTTTTATGAAAAACAGACAATTTCTTCACCAACTGAGCCCCTCTGAGGTTCCAAGATGGACTCTGATCAACAGAATTAGTGCAGTCTACCTGAATATGATGCAGCCAGATCCTTTTGGTGGTGATATCCACATGACCTGAATCTCTGTTTTGGGAAGGTCATCAGCTTCTGAGATGGTGTTGATGCAGTGCTCATTAAATGTGGTGAGTGAGTCTCCGAACAACTGAAAGCTGCCAACTCGCTGAGGGGAGGCATCTGACCCCAGCACAACACCATGGTGAGGGTCAAGTGGTTCTACACCCAGCATGAAGCGGGTGAATTGCTGAAGGCGGCCATGGGTGCGGGAGCCCACAAGTGACACTGCAAGATATAAGACAGTAATAAATAATGTATATCAATAAGCTAGTGGATTTAGAATGCACATTAATATTTTTACTGTCCAAAGTTATTATACCAACACCATAAAAATCTGTTCTGCACCGTGCACTTCAGAAGTGTGGCATTTTAGAAAACATACAAATACAAAATTATTGATAAAAATCAATAAGTAAGTCAATTAGAAATGTCACTCTCTTCAAAGACATACTTTTCTCCATCCTCACACTGTATTTTAGAATATGTGAAATGTTAATATGTAATAAAATTACACATGTCAGACCAACTCACATGTATACACTGCTCCAGGCACATAGCGCTCCGGCTCACCACTCACTTGTATGTGGAATCCATTGTCACCAGGGCTCCTCAATGCAGTGGAATGCTCTTCTCGAGGCTCACGTACGCATGCGTGAGCAGTGCCTAGCAGACACACCCACAGCACCCACCACATCTGTACTGCAGAAAACAAACTGTTCAGTTAACTTTGAACAATCAGAGACTGGTGTATCAATCTTTTAAAACATTTCTTATGTTATGAGTGAGTATGGTGACTGGACTATGGGTTGGAAAACCAACAAGGCCTTTCTCCCCAACATCCAGACTGGCTCTGGAGACCAGCCAGCCTCCTATGCAACAGGTACCAGAGTTTCTTCCTTGTAAGACAAGTGGACGGGGCACGAAGCCAATGACTCAACTCCATCTAATGCTGAGGTTAAAAACTGGTGGATCATTACCTCCACTCCCTCAATACCTGCATGGCATAGCGCTTGGTTAGGGAAAACTTCACCTTTACCTTAAATAGTGAAAAATGATAAATATTGAAAAGTAATTTCTGAAATTTTTTGTAGCATGGTTTCTGAAATGCTAATAGTAGATCTGTACCTGCAATAAATAAACCTCAGGGCCAGTGAGGTATGCAAAGGAACAAAGCACTCATTTGGAAGACATTCTTGTGGTCAGTAGAGTGGCTGACAGTTATTTGTAACAAGTGGCATTCAGAGTTTCACAACTTGTTGTTGTGAACCAGGCTTGCCATCTGTTAGTTGTTCTCCACTCTAAAAATACCGTGAACGCAGTGACAACTTTCTGTCTGTAATTATCTGTCAACGGAGCAAAAAAGCAGTCGTTTTTGTTCTTCCCCACTTATTCCGAAGAAGAGGGCTTAAGGAAGCGTCAGTGGTAGTTCCCACGAACATCTGTTTGCTCTCCTATACAGCGTTGTCGTTTATTTACTGCAATTAAGCTAATGTACTTAGGATCTTAACTGACCTACTGCAAAGTGTAAGGTCTTCCTGGAAAACTAACTGGCCGACGAAAGAATTCCTGCTTTTATGGAACCCGAAATGTCATATCAGTCTTAACAAAAGCCAGCTTCTGGATCGTATTCTGGACCCTCTCATCAACGCTTAGGTCTCACACGTGATCTCTTCCCTTCAGATTCATCGGCCAAAATTGTATTTGTATTTTTTATTTCCCCCACATGTGCTACAAGCCACTATCTTCTCACCAATATCACGGGAAGAACACAAATTATGAAGTTTCTCTTTGTGTAATTTCATCCATCACCGCCCTCAAGATCGACCCTGAAACGTCCGTAAACTTCTACCGGAGTATGCCATCTTCACTGTAAAGATGGCTATGAAGTTGGAATAAGATTTGACAGAAGATCATAACAATAATAATATAATTGTCCTGGCAGGATTCAAACCAGGCTCTGTTTCTCAGAATGCGCCCAGGCCTGGAACTACTTGTGACTCAGATCAGAGCATATATATCTCTATGTCCCATAAGTCAATCTTGCTTCCATTTCTTGTTGCGTCATCGCCAGAATTGCGACCACAAGTTCACACTTTACGCCTCCATTATCACAAAATATGGGTCATCGTAGTCAAAGCAAAGTTGGAAACTTGACATCAAAGTCCGTATTTCGCTTGTTTGCTTCTCTCGTTTCTACGTTTGACAAATCAGCATTTCTTAAGTTTTTTACGTTTCGATCCTTGACTCATTGAAAACAACACTGGACCACAGCAAATTGTTACTGCTACACTGTATCGTGCATTGCAACAATTCAGAGTGAGGATAGTTATTTTTTATTTAACGACACTTTCTCCACCTCATACAGAGGTTACGAATGAGTGGAGCAATATCACCACTTCCCCATACGTTTTCATTCAGAGGTGGAGAGTCCTCAAACAGGGACTTTACCTTTATCCTTCTAAACCGCACAGGTTTTGAAGCGTCAAATAGAAAAATAACTGTGAGTGGTGAATTAAAAGGGTGAAGAAGGAACCTGCTGCGTCGTTTTTAAGGCAGCCCATACCCCGCCACGTTTTAAAATGTTCTACTGTGCAAACAACCGGCTCGATAACTTTGGATGCCACACACTGGAGATCCACATTTAAGAAAACACTGTTCCCCGCCCGCCCCTACTTCCTGTCACCAAGGGCTCGGCCCAGATATTTATTTTCCTTTCTTGGAATCGCCACACCTTCTCCCGACACTGTGCGGGAACTTCCTTTGTTGGTTCCATAAAGTTCTGAAAACAATTGTACCATTGTACCTCAGTTTCACTGCACGATGTCCATTGCCTGACCTAAGCCTACATTTAATGTAAAGATAAATAAACCAGAGCCTGAAGACGCCTTACCTTCTGGAGTTACCGACACGCAGACCAGCAGCAGACGTCACTCACTTCGCCCCTCCACTCGACAGACTGACTTGAACTGTCCTACTCATGTGATGGCGCGCACTGATAACTCATCCGCTGTCTAACATCTGGCACCGTCACATGACCGCCAACTTTCTCACTTCGTTCCCTCGTGCGGTTGTTCTGTTATTCCTCACGGCATTGCCGTTTTGTTTCCTGACCGGAAAAGAGTGACAACTCATTAATCGAAGATGGACAATTAGCATTCGAATCGCGCTAAAGGCAACGATTTTTTTCTCTTCACCACCTCCGATTCCGAGGTTACTGCTGGCTGTTAAAAGCGGCCGGATCGCGTTACCTCCACGGAACATACTTTGCTTGACATGTAGCGATGCGACTCTGGAGGGACAGAAATTGTGTTTAGTTATAATTTACACCATATGTCTTGGAAGTTTTGTGTTTTAGCATATTATACATCAAGAAAATAAGTCGTTAGTTTTTGCTAGGTCTGTCAACAAACAGGTCATTAAGTGGGTCTGTTGGTGTTGGTCAGTGGTTCTCAGACTGGGTTAGTTGGTGTTTCTCAGTGGGGCTGTCAGTGAGTGGATAGATGGTCTCTTAGCTGGTTAATCAGTTAGTTCATAAACATACATAGAGCATTGTCCAATGAAAAATAAATAATTCTTCCACCATACCAAAGAATGTGATGCCACATTTTGATAACAATAAAATAAAGTTCACTGTCTTTGAGTTTTATCCCCACAGGGTGTTTGTATACTCTGGAAAATTAGTTGATACCATTCACATAAAAATAGGAGTGTTCTATTTTATGTGAACCACAAAACGTGCTGATTAACCACAAGACACATACACACTAATATAGTACAGAATGCAAAGCTGGTAAACAAAACAATTCTGTTTTTAAGAAAAGGGAACTTGACTTTGCGCTGGTTCTTGATCTCTGACCTATCTGATAACCTCATTGAGACTAGGCATTCAATCTTGGATATCACAAATCCATTGCTGAATTGCAAGATTTCTGTTGCACTTGTGTTGACAAGTAAGGTCATATTCCTTGAACCTCAAGAGAACAAATGCTCCTCTTATTATAAGCAATATGTTTACACATTCAAATAGAGGGCCACATTAATTATTTAAAATTTTATAGCTTAATTCAAGCTAAAGCTATCATACAGGTCTCAGCATTTAATCAAAGATTGTAAAGTTATAATGAAACTACCAGCAGCACACAATGTAACAGCACTTTATATGTTCAATGTCCTATGTGAAAATTTCTCTTTCTTACATTCACAAAAATAAACAGCATTCTACAAATTTTCTGCTTAAGTGTGGCGTATAGAGGTACTATATCTGCATTTTATTTGGAGAAACTGAGAAAAGCACTGAAAACCTGGCTAAAATTCAAACTGAATACCTCTCAAGTAACACTAACATTGATATTTATCAGTCTGCTGGTGTCGGTTTACAATGTTGGACGAGACTCCCCGGTAATACGAACACTTTTAAACATATTTACATACCTCCCAAATACAAACTGCAGAGTGAATGCTAGATCCTGGTTTCATGCTATGGTAGGCAGGTGAATAATAAATATTGCACTAAGTGAGTTAACATGCCTTAAGTAAACCTCTCTTATCTTGACCTTATTATTGAAAATCAGCCAGTGGCTAATCCACAATAATTTCAGTTGCTGTTGCTCTCTTATCTTGACCTTATTATTGACAATCAGCCAGTGTCTAATCCACAATAATTTCAGTTGCTGTTGCATTTGTTATACAGTTCGGTGGTAATTATAAAATAAATAACATTTTTGAATTAAATATAAAATGGCCACATCTCCTCTCATTTCTCACTACAATTCTTCTTTTTTTTCCAAAAGTATCCACTTTACTTAAGTGGCAAATTCAGTAAATGTAAACTGGCCAGCAGAAAAATATTAAAAATTAATGTGTAAAGAGATGAAGCCAATCTCATCTTCATGAGTGAAAACTCGTGGCTCTTGTTAAATAACAAAACACTTGTTTACCTTGAAACCAGCATTATGGTGAACCCTCGTGCTACAGAACTCTAATCACCGGGTGATATGGTTCACTTACTTCATCTAGGGCAGGCAGAATGTGGTGATTATGACATGGTAGTGGTACTGTTCCTTATGGCACCGAAGATGTGCTGGAAAAAAGAAACAAATTATTAGGCTTAAGCTACAGTTTCATTATGAATTATTTTTATAAGTTTATATTTTTAAACAATTAAAGCAATTGTACCAACTTCACACTCACTGATCAGCCATTTGAACCTAATAGAGAAAAAGTAACAAAAGCTACAATTTTTATTCATTAATGTATATGTGTCCTTCAAAAGTTATGTGTTAATTTAAATAGAGTTGGGAATTTAACTCTGTTGCTTTTGATCCAACACAAGTTTTTCTTCCAGGAAGGGCAGTTGAGGTAACATACCATGTAGCTGAAATATTACATTGGTTAGGTTAAACTGTTAAATTGTCTTTCCTTGGCTTTAGTTATTATTCTGCGTATGAATGCACAGTGTTCATTACTCAGTGTTTGTTTTGGTTTTGTTAGGTTAAGGTAGCTTAGATTGGTTTAGGGAAATTAAAACTATATTATGCACCCTTATCCTGTTTAATATGTACCTGTCACAAATCTGCTGACTTTTACTTACTCTTATTCTGCCATTTCAGCCTGCCTCCAGTCCTATCCTGAATCAGATAGTTCATTCAATATTCCTATACCTCACTTTCATTGTGATCCATTCTACTACTATCCTCCAGTCTTTGCTTAGGTCTTCCAAGTGGTCTTGTTATTTTACTTTTACAAAGCAAATGTTTTTGTGGGTCATGAAACTGATAGCCTCTAAAACAGCAGTCCCCAACCTTTTTTTGTGCCTACGGGCACATTTGAGAGTTTATGAGATCGTGGCGGGCACCAACCAATTAACAAAGCCAAATTTTCTTTTCTCTGGACAAATAAGATTTGGACACCAAATAATACGCAAAACAACACGACGTTTAATGATACAAGAAACCACGCAATCAAAAATACGTAGTTTTATAAGTACAATTATTATTTCTCAAGTGCGATGTTTGGCACTGCATTTCATCGGCCAGTTTTTCAAATTTGGGAGTGTAGGATGATGTTGCTGCTCGCAAACAATCGTCAAGATGGGCATTAGTAAGTAGAGATCTGTGCTTTGATTTTATAATGTTCATGGTTGAACGGCCTTCATTATTCAGTATAACCTCTTTCCGTATCAACGCGGGCACCCGAAAAAAGCCTTGGCGGGCGTCATGTCGCCCGCGGGCACTGCGTTGGGGACCACTGCTCTAAAACATTTAGTGTCTAACAAACTACATGGCTTTTCCTCTGAAATTGCAGTCAATATCTACCAGACTACACAGCATTTCATTCCAGAAGACAGCCATCTTAATGGAAAAGTTGTTTTTTAGGGAAGAATGTGAACAAAATGAGGTGTTCTCTGAAATCCTCAGCATGGAAGGGGTTAAAAATATAATACTATAATTTTGGCTTCTGTGATATAAGTAAAGAACACTCCAATATGACAAGATTTAAGGTTTTCATCAATGTATCATGTTTGTTACAGAAAACATGTGATATATGGTAACTTACATATCACTACTGTAGTGTCTAATCACCTAACGGCATGCACAGTTCACAATATTAACAGATAGCGAGTGAGCTGTAACAAAACTGTGAATAACATTCACTTTGTATGATACTAGCTCAAACCATTTAATACACTACAACTTATTATAGCCCTGTAATTATTTCTCAGACAAGAAAGAACATTAAAAATCATTTCTTGATAAAAAAAGGTCAAACTCAAATTCATGCACAGATGAGCAAAGTGTTTCCTTTGTAGTCCATAATTAACTTCATTTCCATTCAAAAGTCTCTATCTCATTCTACTTCCTTAAGATCTACTTTAATATTACTCTCCCATTTATGTCTGGGTCTTCCAAATGGCCTTTTCCTTTCAAGTTTTGTAACCAAAACTTTTTACACATTTCTGTTCTCAACCAGTCCAAAAGACGTCTTCTTAAAATAATTTTTACAATGAAACCAATCTGTTTTGATAATTATTCATTCCTGTGATGTCTTACAAGCACAGAATGTAGTCAAATTCATTTGGAGATCCAGAAAACATTGCTGAAAAACAATGTGTGCTATGGTGTAAACTTAAAACTATTATTTACATTCATAATCCTTCGAGGTTAATATATTACGACACAAAACCCCAGGGATAAAATTTGTTTGTCTGAATTTCAAAATTTTCAGGCTGAGTCAGCCACTACCTGGAATCTAACTAATAGAAAAATGGACTGAGCTCAAACCCTTTACGATAAATTTATCTGATCACATAACAAATAACTACTTCAAACTCTAATTTGTGTTATTGTTTTAATTTTAAAATTGACAGAATTATTAAACTAAGTTAAACATTGGGTGAAAATGTAATTTCTGTGAAAGCTGTAAGAACGAAACCATTTCCCTTCCTGTGGAAACATGATACGATCAATGTTCCATAGACAGCGTTACTTCCTTATGATCAACCAACTATTTTTCCTTTCTGTACAATGGATTGTTTTCTGTGACTCTTTTTGGTGTTACTGAACTGGTATTATATGACTTCACTAGCTACAGTTTAAGAATTGGGCCCTTTATATCAAAAAAAGTATTCTGATTTTGAAAGACAATTGTGAAACAAGCACTCAGATGTGGGAAGGTGGTAACATTATTGTATGGACCTGTACTAAATTTGGCATTAATTCTTAACTGCTATAATAAATGTATATTTGCGTCATACGTTGGGGGCTTTAGGGAAATATGAAGTATTGTGCTTGTTTCAGGACACAAACTTCCAAAGAACTTAAGTAGAACATTATTGTTATTTGGAGACTGGTAACTCTGAAGTTCTCTTCTTGGTAACTTCTTTAGGTCCGTGATGCCTTCAGACGATTTGCTTGGTCACGTAGTTCCTGCAGCACAGCAGACTCCTTCGAGTTGATAAAGACGGACAGGTTTGGCGTGGGTGCAGCTGACTGTACAATGCCTGCGGGAACAACGCCCTGGGGTGGGTTGCGGTTCTCAAGTTCAGAGTCTGTAGGCGGCTGGTAGACAAGTACTGGTGGTGTCTGAACAGTGGATGGGAAGTCCAGCACAGTGATTAGCTGAGGCTTGTCTGGTCTGGCCGTCACTGTTACAGCTCCAGGAGACTGTTGCGGCTTCTCTGGTTTGTCTGTCACTGTCACCACATCAGGAACATTCTCTGTCACATTGGGCCTCCTGCAGACATTTCAAGTCATGCTATATCACCTCAAAGAAGCTTTGTGAAGCAACGAGTGAAGAGGTTGACCACAGATCTGAGGTTTCTACAACACAGAAAATATGGACTAGGGGTTTCTGGGTCATGACACTTTACACTCTCATAAATGATTACCAATATTTCAGAGGAAAATGGTGCCTCTGTCTTCTGAAACAGCAGTAACCACTTACAAAACTACACAGTGGCATAGCTGCCAACACACGTTAACACATGAGTGATTTATTCATTCTTTTCTCTATTATATCCAAGCTGCTGTCACATCAGGCAAACCATCATCATTTACCTTCTTACTTTTGTACTGGATAATTTAAGCTTATTCAGAACTATATCTCGAGTACTGTATAACTACTCTCTTATTTACAAGATAAAAACCACCTTGTGCAAACTGTTATGTATTCAGCAGTAAGAGATGTATGAGTCAAAATATTTTCTCCACTTCTGATTCCTGAAGAAGCTGTATCAGGGTATATGAGATTCTTCCTGTAATTGAATTACAATTGGCTTAATTATTGCTTCTTTAATTTCTTGTGTCAAATTACAATGCAGTAAAGGTGAGGAATATCTTTGCCATCTTTCCTGTGTACTACACCAATGACTCACCTGGTTGGGTAGGGGAGAGGATACTGAGGCGGCAGTGGACCAGTGGGGACAGCGTAAACTATGGAGACAGCGATGGGTCTTGCATGAGAGATATATGCGCCAGAAGGTACGGGTGCGATCACGGCCCCGACGGGGATGGGTATGCAGACACCGTCATGAACAACGGTAAAGGCCGAGGGAAATGCGATGGGAACTTCAGGCTCAGACACCCAGATGGGATATGGCAACGCCACCTGCACCGCAGGCAAGGCCTCTGGCTCCTGAAACAGGTGGAATACATGTCAAGCATCAGCAATGCGCTACTTTGCAGACTAGTTTATAAAAGAAAGATGGTCTTGTGGTCCCATGCGAGCTACAGTTTTGTCTAATATTTTGTGGGGTGGCTGATGAATTTTAATTAAATTTGGTAGGAAGATCATGCCATTGGAGATAATGCCAAAATGGTGCATGTGTGAAATTCTGAGGTAGGATAGGAATAACAGTAGCATTATCCAATGCATGATTCTGAAAGTTTGTGCCATTAAAATTATGCATTCCCCTATTAAGATTACTTTTCTTAGACATGAAAATAACTCTACAGCTTTCACACAATTTTTTTGCTTCCACAATAAATGACAAACTATTGTAGGAAAACATGGGCTGTCCATGATATCCTACCGTGTCAAATATCACCAACTTCTTGGGCAACAGACATTCCTCAGAAGCTAAGAGTCACTCATTTAGCCAAGATATTTTTAATTTTTTATTGGACCTGATTGCACATTACCACGTACAAAAGACCTGTCACTGATCACTGCCCTGAACCACGTGAATCCAATCCACAACTTATTTCTTTATGCTCAGTTTCAATACTATCGTCTCATATATGCCTAGGTCTTCAAAATGATATTTTTTATTCAGGTTTCCCAACCAAAATTGAGTACGCATTTCTCGACAAACATACACAAATTTAAAGCTCTCGTGTGTGCACCCGGAACATAGACACTTACATCAGGGGCTTGTAGGGTGACGAGTGGCTGTGTCAGGGAGAAGCTTGCGATCTGCACGTCTGCCACAGGCACCACTTGCAGTCTGTCCTGCGCCATCAAAAGCAAGGGCACAGTGGCCATCGACTCGTCCACAGCATACGGGTGCTCGGCCAACAGCAACGGGGGCAGGAAATCGTAGAAGAACCTGCCCTCTGTAGCAATCACAAGCACTGCCAATGCTACCAACACCGATTTAACCTGTCGACGGAAAAGGTCAATTACGAGTTAACTTTTAGAATGACGAGGTTTCGTTGTGTACCTTTTGCACAAAAATATATTTCTGTTACAAATATCGCCAGATCTTGTACATATTATGACCGCGTGTCGGGCGCCATTATTTTGAGGCATCCAGATTCGAATTTCGGAGGGACCGAACGAAATGTAACCTTACAATTGACCCTTCACTAGGATAAATGCAATCGGGTGTTAAATATTGAAACCTTACTCATTAAAACGTTTAAGAGGTTAACTTCTCTTACATAAAATGTATTTTTTGGATCACGGTTTATCGTTCAATCTGTGTATAAATGTCATAAGCATTCATAGAGCATGATTCATGCTAGTTTCCTTCAACTTGGAATTGCATTCCATACCGCACTGGCGATCTTATTTTTAAGACTACAGTCCTCCTTGAGATAAATGAAAAGGCGTGAGATCGCCATAAAGGCACCGGTCCTTTCCTTTTGTGGCCGTACCAGGTCATAAAACCTCACTGCAGAGAACACCAGTAGCGAGCCACGTAATGTAAACACAGCGTATAATCTGGTTCCCCTTTGAACTTTTGTAGTTTCAGAGATACGCAAACTCGCACCTTGGTATGTCTCAACCAAATTGCTCTGTTCTTGCAGGAAGTAATGAGGACGCGAGGAGGCCACTGGGAGTGGCTTTTAAGCAACGTCCATACATTTGCCGACACCGGGTTCCTTGATAAGAATGAGTGAGATTTCATGTCGCGACGGTCTACGAAAAGTGGCCATGGCTTCCTCCGTCATGCACACCGGCCGAAAGACGACGTACTTACACTGCGTGATCTCTCTCTCTCTCTCTCTCTCTCTCTCTGGTATTTTAAAAGAAAATACATAGGTCTACTTCTGAGTGACTGGAATGAGCAGTCATTGCTGAGAAGCTCACAGTCCGACACCTCGTGAAGAAATCCTCTGCCTTTCATTGAACTCGAAGATTCATTACCGTGTTCATAGCAGCCCGATGTCAGTCCTTATTCTGAGCTACATGAATCTTATCTACGCCCTACCATCCTGTTTCATTATGATCGACCTTAAAATAAATCTTTTTTCAAAAAAAAAATAGAACTTGCCAAATAACCTTTCTGCTTCATGCTATCTTCCTTAAGAGGCTGAAAGTCTGTCAAGAAATTCCCCGCCTTTTACGGGGATCGTGCTCACAGGACTTCGCCACTGGACCCTACGGTTAAGCGGATGTACTTTTAAACGATTTATTTGTGAAATGATTAGTTGCCTCTTTGACAGCCGTTGGTACATTTATATATCGTAGATTCTTAACATTTACGGCGACAATGAATGAAACGTTGCTAAGCACGTGGGAGACGAGGTCGTGGCATATTAAAAAGTGCCAGTCCGATATTAGGTTCGGTTAGAATTCTGTAAGAGGACGTTCGGTGCGAACTGAAAAGTGGTAAGATTCCAGTCCCAAGCCCCACGTCCAATCCATAAATTTGGCAACAGACAAAACAAAAGAAAAATTAATTATGTTGTGTACCAGAACGTTTGGTGCCTTGGAATATAAGTGGGTGAGTTGTTTTCTGAGCTGAGGAACAACTCATCATTTTGAATAAAATTCTATTGATACAAGCAACGAATTAAACAAATTATATATGTGACTGAAAAAATTCGTTTTATCTCAGATTTAAAGTTGCGAAATGTCCTGAAACAATGCTCCTCATGTTCCCAAAGATACGCATGGGTTTCCACTTCTTTCAGGATCGTTTCCGTTGGATGGTCTGCTCGAAAATATATTACATAAAATATTACGCGTTCTTAATTTTTAATTGTGTGCTAGAATAACTTGAAAACGTGTTTAAGGCTCAAAGTCTTGCTTCATCGCATTATTTCCAGCTGTTTTTGTAGTTGTAATTTGTATGGATTTTAGATGTTTCACCACTAATTTCTATTAGCAATTATTAAGGACAGCAATACATTTAAAATTTTTCGAAAGATACCACTGAATTGCTCTTGCCTGAGACGATTGTTTCTAGACCGGTTGAAACTTGCGAGATTTGTAATAAGTACGCCAGGAAAAGATTCCTCGCGTTTCAGAGGTGCTCACTACTTCCTTCATCAATAGCCAAGAAGGCAGTCATATATGGGATATTCAAGTGCATTTTAGGTTTGTATGAACAGTAATTGAAAAGCAGAAGTGAGAGGGGTTTGGCTGCTTTATTTCTCATACGATCATACCGACCGGATTTTCTACCAAAACGAGGGTTACTAGAACCTGTATTACTTGTTGAGGGGCGAAGCGAACTGCCTGTTCATCAGCTGCATTTCACTGCTTGAACAAATGAACTACAATAACAAATAGCAGCGAACTGCCTGCTCATCAGATGCATTTCACTGCGTGAACAAATGAACTACAATAACAAATAGAGCCGTAGACTCACATTATTTAAAGATAAGATTGTGTGACATAACACATTAAGATATCATCAAAAAGTCGTACAATGGTCTATATACTCAATTGACCAGCATTATAAAGGACGTGTGTTACATGCGTGCATTCATGAATCTAACACCAGATTTAGTGAAAAACTGGCGCGAGGCCACAGGACCTTCACACCACAAGAAGACTGCAGGGCGGAGGAACGCAAGTCCTTGATTAAAGGTTTGAAGTCCGCGGTGTTATGTTGACCCTTAAAGATTAGGCGCATAAGGAAGTAGTTCCAACCCTCGATGAAGGCAAGCTGGTGCGCAAATCGTGCTACAGAGCCCCGGGCTGTCTGTCTGTCGCGGCTATGGCCTGCACGAAACGAAACAGATGGGTCTCCTTGAGACTGCAACAAACAGACCTTCCTCCTCGCCGTTGCGTAACCCGAAATTTAATACAATCTGCTTGTGACAGAATCCGAAGAAATCTGAACGTCATTTCGCTTCTAATATGTTTCCGTTTCATATAGCTATAATGAGTTATCCATAAATACGGTAAAATATATACGGGCTGGACGACCGGGGTTCGATCCCCGACGGGGGCAGAGGATTTTTCCTCTAGCCTCTGCGTCCAGACCGGCTCCGGGCTATTTCTCCAAAAATATTGCAATAAAATTCAAAAGACCGAAAACATTCTTCCGTTTGAGGCAGGTTTCCACTCAACAGCAGGTGATCATTAATTGTAAGCAGATAAGGATTCGAAATTAGGGAGTCTCTACACCGGTATTTGCTAGGAAAAAGCTGAGGACATTTAAGAAAAACCTTCCTCAGTATAGCCAGTAATCCGAATGAAATACAAACCGGTCCCTCACGAATGCGAGTCTAGAGTGTCGCCATTACCACTAGATTCTCTTAGGTAGAGCTCAAATATTCTCCTTAGCAAATACTGGATACTGGGAACGACCCGTTCTTCCAGTACCTGAGCACTGCGGGTCCCAACTTTTCATTGGCTTTGATCTATAGACATTCGGTAGGACTCCTTGGACGAAGGATCGGCCCGTCGCAAGGCCTCTACCTGTACACAGGACAGCACAACACAGAAAAACCCGGACAAACATCCATGCCTTAAGTGGGATTCGAAACCACGGTCCCAGCGACCAAGCGCCACAGGGCCCACGCCTCAGACCGCGCGGCCACTGCGTACCCCTCGTAGCAAATGCCTTCCAAATATCTTCGGTGTTGCTCTTTTCACGACATGAGTGGTCTATTACACAATTTTTATTAGGTCTGTAGGTACACCTGAGATTCTTAGCAGAATTGGGTGCCAATCACATCGATAAGATGTTGTCAGATTGAAAGAACAAATAACACAGATCTCCACGCATTCAATGGACTGGATCTCCACGCAAAGGGTTTTCATTCATCTTTCTTTCACAAGCGTACATCGCGCTAACACTGAGCTAGTATTACCTGACACTGCACTTCCTGAGATATGAATGACTTGTCTGCATGTCCATTCTACTGAATCAAGGCGAATGCCAAGTGCTTCATCAATCTTCACAAACTCTTTCGGACGAAAGTGAACCAAGTTACATGATTCGACATTCCAGACACATCACACAAAGGCCACCTACAAACACTGGGATAGTTACGTAGTCCTGGCGGTTGTATATTAAAAGTGACCGCGAGCCGAGGAACCTCACGAGAAAAACAATATGCAATTAACAATACTGTTAAATATATATCAGTTATTCGCATTGACTGACCATAAAATGACATAATTAATAATCAATTACTGCACGGTATCCTAAACTCTGGATCTCTGATGTATTTAGGATCTTGCGACACGGATTAATCCAAACCTGCAATGATCCTCTCATATCCAAATGCAAGACCAGGTAATTGAAAGCAGTGAAATCACAAACACTTCTATTTTCATCAAAATACAGATTTTCATCTACGCCCTAGCAGGTTAAAAAAAGTGTAAAATTTGGCATGGCAGATAATCATTCACCAAACTTCCCCGATTCTTAATTACTCGAATCGTAAAAGGTTGTGAGACTTCATAAAATCACACTCATATAAAGAACTATGAATGCATTACAGTTGCGAAAATTTGTAACACAGAATAGGGCGGACACGAGCAGTTCTCAAACAGAACCGCCTCTTCTCAAGGGGAAAAAACACTAACGCCCAAAACAAGAAATTCAGAATCTCGCAACTAATTTTGAGTAAAACCAGCCGCACGTGGTACAGCCTAGATGCTGACAAAGAGGAATGAACTTAAATCTCAAATCCGATTCTCAGTCTTGAACTTATTGACTTCGGGTGGAGTCGAGTGGGACGGACGGTACTTGAAGGCTTACAACAATCGATTGTGTGGTCGATAGTCATCCGTTGGTCTTCCGTTAAGCAACACCACTAGCCTTCATATGCAGTCATGTCGCTGACGTCTAGCAAGGTCCGGGTTGAAGCCTACTCGAGGTTAGGTTCTAAATAGTCCTCAGTTCCTCAAAGATCATGAAATACTTGCACTGACCGTCCTTGTAGTCGTGATCATATATTCTTTAAATTAAA